ACCACAATAAAAGTTAAGTCCCTCCTGCTTCGATGGGATGGATCCTTGTAGATCCTCACAGGTCCGATCTACAGTCGACACTGTTTCTGCATAAATGCAACATGTGCCCACATGAGATACCAAAATGTGTTCTCCTGTTTGACACGACCTGAACAGCATAATTGAGTGAGTCACTGTAAAAATACTCTCACTTTTGAAACGTCAGAGTTGTTTATCCCCCTGCATGTAGCTGAGCCACTCTGAAGGCTTATTGCACTGTCGAGGAAAGAGAGCCATAATGGCAGGTGGGGAGGGAGCTGCTCTTTTCGACGCTGGGGGTGACGATTGATGAGGCCCATTCCGGCAGTGCAGGAAGCTAATGAGTCAGAACCACGAGTCAAGCTGTCGGGAAATCACACCATCCCCCCCGAATAAAAGAAGAAATCCATCCCAACGTGACATCCACAAAACCAAACAAATGCAGAGGGAGAAGCAGGCAGACTGAAAATGAGACAGTAGAGAGCAAAGCTTATGCCGGCGATTTACTTCAGCGGCAATTCTTTTCTTTTACGTGCATTTCAGTCAGTCCAAAGTCAACGCGTGTTGGGTTCCTTACCGACTAAGGACAGAAAATAAACCAAATCCTCAGCAATCCTCCTGCTCACTACTACTAGTCAGTGCACCAGGGACCAGAATAATGGACTGGCCTTTTCAGGGCCACATTAGACAACACCAAACAAAGCCTTCTGGCAAAAATGTCCACCTGTTAAGTCCCAATAATAAAGCTGACAATATCAGTGCTCTGTGTGCCGTGTTTTGATCGGTAGATGCTCAGCTATTTAAATTTAAATTAATGGATATTTTGGTCAAACTCCCTAAAGGATACGTTTTAATAACTTTGGTGTGACCCTGACCTTTTATTCAGCTCCGTCATCAGTTCAAAATGTAAATTCATGCAACACTCCTGTTTACGACCAAGACTTACCTACAAAACTAACCTTTTCAAAGCCTGTGAGATGTATTTAGTCATACGTCTGGGAATGGAGATGCTGATGCATTCATATATATATATATATATATATATATATATATATATATATACAAATAAAGGAGGATCTTCCTCTGAGGGGCATAGTTTCTATTTTAATTCGTCAACTCATGTTGCATATTCACATGGGCGGATTATGAGACAACGGGCACTTAGGCACAGACTTGCAAAAGGCCCCACCGACGCACAGAGGAGCGAGATGTTAAACCTCTTTTCCTTGTTTTTTCTGACTCTTTACAGTTGTTTGCTTCTCTTTGTGGTGCTTGTGTATTTCACAATTTTCCGGGTCTCTTTGAAGTTGTCTTATGTCTCTCAGGGTTTTTGTCTTTAGTTGTTTTGTGTCTCTGTGCCTGTTTTGTATCCCTATGTCGTAATTGTCTCTCTTTGTCATTGCCTTTCTGCACTTTGTTGTTGTTTTGCTCTCTGTGTCTCTATGTAGTTGGTCAGTGTTTTTTCCTTTGTAGTCCTTTTGACTTAAAAATGTGGAAATCAGCAATTACATTGTTTATATGATTCTGGTGGCCGCTGATTCAATAATCCAATAAAGTCTTTTTTGCCTTTAGAGACACATTGGAAAATTAAAGCAAACCTCCAAATTGCTAGTTAATCCATTTGCTTCATGTTAAATTGCGGCTCACGTCCACCAAGGTTGCATTCATCCACACAGGCTGCAGCTCCACGCCTCGCTCAGCAGTTAACCCAGCTTGCTTTCATACGTGCCGAGGTAAACATGAGCAGAGAGCGTCCTTCAGCTTTGAGACAGGCATGTTGTTTTTTAGCTGACCATGACCTTTGACCTTGCAGTAGGCGGAGGTGGAGCGAAAAGAAAATGTGCCTCGAGGATTTAAGC